TTGTGGGTACCATTTCTGTAAACCTTCACGAGACTTCACTCGTCCACTAGGGGTAACCTAGGGGTTTAAAAGGCTTGTTGCATATGCTAAATGCAACCGTGATCCCTACGAAAGTGGTGTTATCTTTATTTGCTTTATTAGTTCATAATCGTATATATGTTTGTTTCATTTCCATGCTGTAGTTTATTGCTAGGGACTAGCAATATCTAAGTTTGGGGGCGTGATAAGTGCTTAAATGTTGCACATTTCAGCACCTAAGCTAAGGTATTTCAGTCTTTGCATCTATCTTAATTTTATATTTTAGTCCTAATTTATGTTTATGTGTATTTCAGGGCAATAAAGTTAAAATGAGCTAAGAACAGTCCAATTAAGCCATTTTGGAGTTAAGCAAAGATTTTCAGACAATGGCACAAAGCGGTCAATTTCGGGCCTTTGATGATGTTCCCAAAGATGGAGAAGCAAACCAAATAGCCCGGGGCAAAAATGGAGCTGAATAGGGCTTAAAGGAATTTGTCAACTCTGGGGGGATCGATCCCCAGGGTGGGGGATCGATCCCCCAGGACTTAGCAACATTACAGTTTTTATTTAATTTTTGGGCTCATTTTGGGAACTGTTGGGCTTTAATGAGATTGTTACCTAAGGCCCAGTGAGCCATTAGATTAGGGTTAGTTTTAGTTTTTATTTAGGTAAAGATTATTAGAAAAAAAAAGGAAGAGTTTTATTTTATTTATTTTTCTGTATCGTAGTATCGTTTTTTCTCTCTGGAAAAACACGCGAAGAAAGGGAAAAAGAAGAACAGGCTAGGGTTTGGAAGAAAAGTTCAGAGAAGATGAAGCAGATGATGGGGATTGTCCTATCTTCGACTCCATCAACCATGAGTGGCTGATTCTTCTACTTAGGGTTGGATAAACCCTAAGCATGTAACCTATTCTCTCTCTCTTTTCATACTTTTTGGGGATTAATTTATGTAATTTGTGTATAGTCTGGAATATTATGAATTAAATTCTTCCAATTGATTATCTGTATTAATCTCATATTGTCTTATGTGCGGTTGATTGATAAACAAATTTTACACGTGAATTCTTTGTTAATTGATTCTTGTGATGACTATGCATGGTATTGCTTAGTTGTAATTGTGTTTCAAATTGATGAAAAATGCTTCCATTTGATGGATGGTACTACATGTTTAGGTTAATTTGTTATCTAATTAGTTTTAAATTCATGTTTAATTAGTTTAATTTAAGTTTAATTAATTTAATTGCAATTCAATTATTAGGTAAGTAGACCATCCATACTTATGTTTGAATTCCATACTTTTTGTCACAATTGCATTATCTTCTAGATTAATGTGTGTTAAATTTGTAACTTGGATTGATAAATCATGCTTTGAATGGGTGAATTGCACTACACTTAGTTTAATTGTCATTAGGTAATTGATTCATGCTTGAAATTGATGGTTTACACTTTTCATTGCACTTGTTAGCCACATATAGATTACATAGTATTATTTCCCCAATTAGTTGAAAGTGAGTGAGTTAGGGAATGTGCTTAGTGGTGAATCCTACACCCTAAGTCCCTTTCCAATCTCTTAAACTCTATTTCTTTATTGCAATCATTTAGTTTAAAATTAGTTTTAATCACAAACAAAACCCTTTTGGCAATCACAGAAGCACTAAAGTATAATTCAATTCTGGAAAACCTATAATTGTTTAGATCTCTTGGGACGATCCCTGCTCACTTCATACTCCATAGTATAAGTGTTTAGTGGTTTTATAAATTTTAAAATATGGTGCCCACTTGACATTATTTCTAAACCTAAAGTGTTGTGCATTATTTTGTGCACACGCTCGGTCGCACCAATTACAAAAAGAAATTTTTTTAAATAATAACAGAATATATGAAATTTATAATAATTTGATCTCATTGTCATTTAGGGTTTTGAAAATATACCTAAATTTGAAGAAGCAATGTCCATGATGGCTTACAGTTCGTCCCTTCTGCTTCAGTTTTCAACTTCCTACAGTGTTTTTCACACTCTCACTCTGTCTTGATTGACAATTAACCTTTCTACGCTTTAAATGACCTCTACCTTCAATCTCATCACTACTACTTGATGATTGAGATGGAGAACTGGCAGAAAGAGAGTATGAAGCATTATCACAATTACTTTCACTATCTACAGCAATTCTTTTTCCATCGCGTTTAGATGCCACATCTTTTTTTTTTTTGTTCATCTTCTTTGGCTTTTGTTGCAATTTTTCCCTTTTTTTCAGCGCGCTTGGCCACATGCTTAATCCTTCCAATTTGATGTTCCTAGATTATGAGTTCATAATGAGATGTTGCACTTATAAAAACAGATTTCATAATAAGACTTTAAGTAAATTTAGAAGCATAAAAGTTAAAAGTTACAAGCTTAAAAGATCATATTATTTATATTTTATTTAAAGTTAAAAGTTAAATTTTATCATATAAAAAAAGCATCCAAAAAAATACAGTCACGTGTTAATTTAAAGAGGATTTTGAAAGGGATTATGAGGTATTTAGTTGTCAACAATTTTCACTTTTATGTAATTGAATTTTAACACAATCACGAACCTACTCCAAAATTGGAGAATGAATATTGTGTGGTTATAGACTAAATAATAAATTGGCAGACTTCACAAAATTTCGCATTCATCAATTTTTATTTAGTGCAATAAAAGAAGAAGAAGAAGAAGAAGCATATTGAAGGGATTAGATGCCTAATGACTAAATAATGAAAGTCTGCAAGCTACTCTCTTGGCAGACTTCACAAAATTTCGCATTCATCAATTTTTATTTTGTGCAATGTAAATAAAAAAAATGGAATTTCAATGTATTCGTAAATAAGAAATTATTGCAATTATTACAAAAAGCATACAGACTTTACAAACATATATATAATTTTACCTTTTGCAGTCCATATTGGATTATTTTAGTTCACAAAGTGATGTAGTGTAGAACTTATAAATAGTTTAGTTATTTTACACATAAATAGTAATTACTTGAGTTATATGTTAGTTTTTAGCGATTTCTGGTTCTATGACTTTAACATGGAGATCTCCACATTACTTAAGTAAGTTTATGCAATGCACATGTAAACTTAACTGCATAAAGTATGACGCTTGGAACAACTGTGGTCTTGACATGTAAGCAAGGAGAATACTTGGTTGTAGGCTATGTCACATAATTCTAACATAAGAGAGAGATTGGTCTTAATTTACAGCAAGTTTCAAAGTGATTTAGGGTACTTGAGAAACCAAGTACATTGATATTCTGTGATTGAATCTAATAAGGAGCTTTATTGACATACTAGAAACAATGAGCCCCCCAAGCTACTGGTGGAATGACCTAACAAACAGAATAAAATTAAAATTTGGAACTTGATGTGGAAGAGTAACACAAAAAAAACCAATACATGATACATAAACTGATCAGAATCATATTTTCCAAGTAAATTCTTAGTTCTCCTGATTAACTCGACTTGTTAAAGCTACTCAATTATGAACTACTCTTTTCTTTGTCACCAACTCATGACCTTGTCAGGGGCAATCCATCACTCATCCTAGAGGTTTTCTCAACCACCACATTTACTTAGATTTTTCTGACACTTTAAATGGTGAACTTTTCATCACCATTATAAATTTAATCAATTTGCCTCACTAGTAAAAAAATTAAAACTGAATTCAACAAGCAAGTTGTAAAGATTTAATTAAATTTACAAATGCAGATAAAATTTAGACAATAAATCATATCAATGGTAATCACAACTGTGACCTTCTTATTCATGAAAAATAGCAGCATCTAAGAGCATAAAAAAAAAAAGAGTAAATTCGACTTAACTAAACAGAAACACAAAAGCGAAGCAAATCGTGGCCAGAGAAGAATCCAGAATCACGGCGCCGGAATTTGACGGCAAGCAAACCAAGGTCGGTGAAGATAGCGAAACAAACCGTGGCCAGAGAAGAACCCAGAATCAAGGTGCCGGAATTTGACGAACTAAGGCCGGCGAAGATAGCGAAGCAAACCGTGGCCAGAGAAGAACCTAGAATCACGGCGCCGGAATTTGACGGCAAGCAAACCAAGGCCAGCGAAGATCGCGACCAACAAACGCTGAATTTTGATTCTCCTTTCTTTGATCGAAACCCAAAGAATTTAGGGTTCTTTGCCGCCGTTTTCTTTTCTTTGCAGGGTTCGTCTTTTCTCAGATTATCTTGGTTTAGGGCTAACTCTTTTGTCAATAGGGTTAGCTTTTTGAGTATTTGTTTTTTCTTTTTATGTAATAAATTACCATATAAGTTAACGGAAGACAGATTTAACGGAATGATGCGTTTTGCACCATTTTAGTGGAGTCCACAGACATATTACAAACTGAAGCATACGTGGCCAAACTAAGGCCTTTCATCAGCTCACAGCAGGGGACTATAGAGTAATTCACAGCAGGGATTTGAGCCCAAATGGCCATGCATAGAGAAGTCGTATTTTATACAATTTAGTATTTTATACAATTTAATCTATATTTACCGGAAATGATCTTAAATCACACGACTCATCAGCTGTCACATCCAACTCACTTGGGATTCCTATTAGGTCATTGACAAAATGTCTCCCATAACATGACAGGTCTGACCTTAAAGATTAGCTGACCAAACATGCCTACCTTTTAGTTTTGGACACTATATATACATACATATTATATATATTAAGCCATTAAAAACTGGAAACACTTACCCTACCAACCATATAATAACTCCACATGCTAAAATATTTATTGATGAAACCATGAGGGTGTGTCCAAGTACAGTACACAAATCATCACCAAATTTAACATATAAAGCCCAAGACAACATCATGAGAATGTGGCTGGAAACCAAAAGGTATGAACTATATACATACCTCATCATGATCAAAGTGACCCCATATAAAATCCTATCACCCTCCATAAATATATATCCTATCCCTCCTTTTCTCTCTATTCACAGAAAAAAAAAAAAAAAAAACACTGCCCAACTTAATCGAACTGAAGAGAAAGATGACAGTAAAGACCATATGACAACATACAAATAATTATGGACCCTTCTTAAATAGCGGTTGCCTTGGCCTTGCTCGATCGGCTCCGGTGGTGGTGTTTTCCATGGCGGTGGTGGCTTCCCCCAAATGTAACTGGGTCGAAACCTCGGAGGTGCTGAGCTTCCTCGGGATCAATCACACATTCAGATGGAGGAGCCTTGTACCGAGTTTTGTCATAACAATAGGAATATTGCATGTGCTTCTTTCTGAACTTCTCCATTTTGGTCCTTTGTTCTCGAGTGATGATACCGTTAGGAATTGATTCAGAATTCGGGGCATTGTCGCACTTGGATGACTGTTCGATCGGGTCAACCGCGCATCCATGTAGAACAAGGTCCGAGAACTCGGAGATATAAGGAGCATACTTGTAATTGACTCTGTATCTTCCACCATTTGTAGCCCAATCAGACCCATCCCATATTGTTGCATACAAAGACATTGGCTTGGAGGGGAAATCCCCACCAATTGCTTCTGTCCTTTTGATTTCTCTTATGGGAATGTTGTCAACATAAAATCTGTTTCCGGAGGAAAAAAAAAACGTGAAAATAACAAAATTAAAGATGGCTGAGCAAAAACCTGGTTTCATCTTAGTTGTTTGATCTTAAAACACACAGGACTGTGAAGGGGCAGTTACTATCCATGAAGTATCAGTAAGAAAAATCTCACTCCCCTCTCTCTTTCTACACACACACACATATATTTGTATTATAGAACAGGAAAAAATATAGCTAATGTTCATTTACCACTTATTTGATACAGAAGAAAATTATTTAGACGGAAAATCCTTGATTATTGTAAAAAATCCAAGATTGTTTTTTTTTTTTTGGATTGTTGAAGACATAGTTCACATCACAAAACATAGATAAATATAATGAACAAAACGAATCTAAATATTATGGACAGTGAAAAACCATTAGATAATGGGTCAACCAGACAGTATGATCCATAACATAATTGCTCAACCAGAAAATTATTCTGTTGTGTTATAAGACTACCATACTTGATTAGAAACCTAAAAACAAATAAATTTGAATGCCTTATTAAAAAAATAAATAAATAAATAAAATACAGTTGTCTGATAAGATTAGACAAAAGGCAATTACAAAGGAATTACAATATCCCAACTAGATTACAAATTATGAAGATAGCAGATAAAAAACCCCCTTACAGAGACTAAAAGTATGCTTTTTAACCAAAATTAGAAGAATTTTAGATATATAAGTTGATGTAGAAGAATAGAAACTGAGTTTCAAGTTTTCATCAGAAAAGGGAGATGTGATTGTTCAATAAAACAAAGGCATCCACCAATATAAAAGGCCTAAAAATAGAAAGCATGCTCCTACCCTATAACTGAGACACCACTTCATAAACCCCTAAAACAGTTTTAAAACACACACACACACACAATAGTACATGAGAGAGTATCAGATAAGCTTAAAAATGAAAAATAGTCCACAGTATCTGATGAAGGAAAAGCTGTTCAGAAACAAAGGTTTTAACCAAAAAGAGAAAAAATATAAAGAACCCTAGATTTTTTTTTTTGGGGGGGGGGGGGGGGGGGGTTGGAGGCTTACATGATTTGATTCTCAGTCCAGAGAATGCTGTACTGATGGAAATCTTCAGAAGGATCAAACCAGAGGCCATATCTCTCTTCCCTCCCAATATTTGTGCTTCCATTCCCATAAATATTAGTCTGAATCCTCCAGTCTTTGCCTCTGATGTTGCCTAGAAACTCAAAATCCAGCTCATCATGGTTCTTCTCAAAAATGTCTCCATTTGACATCTGTAATCAAGGAAAACAAACTTCAAAACAAAGACAGGACTGATTTGATGATTAAAACGCTTCTCACGAAATCTGGGTATGATTAAGTAGATTCAAGAAATATGTTAAACATCCATATGGGTATTGATTAATCCGATCATATATTCTCAACTGAAAATGACTAATTTGTCTAAGAACACATTGAAGGTGTGATCGATTCAATCAGATTTTTTTAGCAGAGTTTCGATTATAAACTATAAAAAGAGACTTGTAAGAAGTACTCATGCGTGAATGCTCTGAAAAACTTGTAAAATTAGCATACAGTGAAAATTTGGTAGGAATTTCATATGGGTGTGATTAAATGAATCTATATATATCAGTCCTCAAAAGTTTTCAGACTGAGTTTTTTTAATTAAACCGTCTGGGTGTGAAGGGTTTAATTATTTCCAACATAAAAACAAATTTTATTACCTTAAAATGGAGAAAATTAATATTATGATTTAATAGACTAGATTTATAGAATGGATAACTCACATAAAACGCAACAACAACACCAGCTGTGTAATCTGCAGGGAGTTTGATAGAAGCACTGAAGAACCCATGAAGGTAAAGGTCATGAGACACAAAACCAGAGCCTGCGTATTCCCAAAAAAAAAAAAAAAATTAAATAAATAAAAATAAAACAAAACATTCTGGGAAAATAAAAAAAATCAAAGCAAAAAAAAGGCTGAAGAAGATGAAGAAAGTATGACCTGTTCGTTCACTTAGAGAGAGATGAACCGATTTACCATCTCTAAGCACCATGAGATTATCGTCGCCAAAGAGCTGCGAATACCCTTCGTCGAATGACAGTATCGGTAGGTTTCTCGAAGACCCAGAAGCCAAAACAAGAACAGAGCATAACACAAGGAAAATGAAGCCCAGATGAGAATCCACCATTTTTTGGTGTTGTAATCTTCAAAAGCTCAAGTTACACAGATTCTCTTCTCTGGGTCTCCCTTAAATGTTCAAGAAGAGTATCGAAGAAGGGAATGAGTGGGAGAGAAATGAAGAAATGTGTCTCATCAATCTCTAGAACAGTGAGAGAGAGAGAGAGAGAGAGAGTGTGTGTTTGTGGAAAGGGTATTATGAAGAAAGAAAGGGGAGGTGGTCATTTTATTGGTGGTGAGAGGGGTCGAGCTGTTGACAATGTAGACGCATTTTCTGAAACTACTTTTTTATTTAATCAATCAGAAAAAAAAAAAAAAAAAAAAAAAAAAAAAAAAAAAAAAAAAATTCAATTAGTTGCTTGTTACTGTCGATAAACCTTTTTTTTGTAGAAATAATTAATATTTTTAGGGTTTCTCACTTTCCCCGTGAAAGAACTAGCCGAAAGTACTTTGTCAACTTGTCTCATTTCACTTTCCACCACTTAATTTTATCATTTTACCACTATTCCTACCATTTTTTGAAATATTTCATATGTATGCCCCTTAAAATTACATTCCGTTACTTTTCAATGGCATTAGTTTATAGACATGGTAAATAATATCTGATGGGTTAGTATGATATTTATATATTCATTGCTAATGGTGAAGTGCTCCAAATTTTATGTAGATACGTTAACTACTTTTTCTTTTTGAAAAGTTTAAAATTTTATCCGGAGAGAATAATAACAACTGTCACACATGTCGTATGCTACTGTTAAGTTTCAATAATGTCTTTTTTACAATAAAGTTCATGTTATTCAACACCTATGATCCCACCCACAACATTTGCATGACTGATGCTAACATTTATCTACTTTAACATACGCATTTTTTGTGACTAAAAAGTTCTTTCCATCAATGAACACAAGAATTATTTCAACTTATATGCTTAAGAGAAATAAATTGTTATAATACTATGTAATAGAAAGATATATATATATATATGTGTGTGTGTGTGTGTGTGTAATGTTGTTAATACAAATTGACCTCGCTTGCTTTATTTTTACAATGAGTTTTGGCACTTCAGCCCTCATTGAAGACTTTAAATTGAGTATGAATATGATTGATGTCTTCAAGAAGAGATAAAGTAGGAAAATTATTACAAAAGCCAACCAATAATAAAATATAAAACGAACAGAAACGAACAGTGGGGCTGACCTGAAAAATGAAAGGTATAAATCATTAGGGCAAAAACAATGAAATATAAATACTTTTTGGGGGCAAAAAGAGGTTTCACTTTTAATTAATTATATATATTTTTTAATTTGCATAAACAAAGAAGAAAAAAAGACACTCGTTGCATTCCTGACCAGGTAACCGCCCCAGGCGCCGTCCCTTTATAGGTGGGTTGTGGTAAATTCCTAAAAAACCCTCACTTTTTGGCAAATCCACGGAGGATTTGCCACTATCAAGGAACGTGACCCAAGGGATATAAAGCGGAGCGAAAACGGGAGCCTGAGCTCTCAGACAAAATTGTTTCATAAATAATAAAAATTAAAAAAAAAATACTGGGAGTAAAAATACACGCATAAGAGCAACACGAGAAGAACTGTGTGACTGTGGCAGTCAAATAAAATCATAAAGGGCATTTAATGGAATAAAAAGTGGAGTAGTGTGGGGTACAGGAAGAAGACGCTCGAGTGGGCCACCACCTAGTGTAGCTGATTGACACGTGTACGAAAATCTGGTGACTCACATAATAAATCGGTGATTCGACGTGTCTCTTCTATATATATATATATATTAATATAACTCTGCTTTGTTTTTTTTATTGCTGACGGGACATCTTGTTCCCTCCACATCATCACCAACTAGCCGTTGCCTTTTGTCCCCACATGGACCCCACTATGCATAGAGAGGAGAAGGGCGTAATTTATGGGGCCTTTACTGCGGAGTTAACGGCGTCCATCGTGGGGTAAATTCCGTTAAAAGTGAAGACAGGAGGCTCATAACGTCCGTCGAGAACGGCGTCACTCTCATGGGTGGGCTCCACATTTCACTTGCGACTTTGTGAGAAAAAAAAAAGCAAGACATAATTAATTTTTTTCTCTCTGAGATATGGTGAAATTTGTACGGAGTATTTATGAAAATCACCAATTAAAATATTAAAATATTAATTAAATGAGAAACTAACAGTAGTGTCATAAATTTTGTTTCTTCAATCATTATTGAGAGGTGGAAAAAAAAAATTGTTTAGAATCATAACGTCTATAAAGTCGTTGGTAGTAGTAATTTATGTTTTATCAGTATTATATGTTTGATGTTTCTTTTCACTTCCATTAGCAAGTATAACTTATTCTTCACACTAGTTTTTTGATAATTTTCTCATTGCATTTTATTTTGTTTTTCTAATATCATGCTATCTTTAATTAGTTGTTCTTTTTTTTCTCATTTTATTATATATATTTTTAAAAAATTTATTATATATATTTTTAAAATTTTACAAGTGTTTGTTGATCAAATAATTAACTAAGACTTCTCATTCAAGGTATCATAGTCATTTTTTCCTTAACTAACTCACTATGTTTAACTTTTAAAATCAATTTGATAACTCCATTCCATATTACAGTATTTTTTATCGTCCTCTCCATTTCTTATATTTATTGTAACTAATCATCTTCATTTGACCGGCAAATTAGATCTTTAATGTATGTCTAAATCATTTAAGTCTACTTTTTCGATTTTTCTCACCAAAGTCTATTATTATTATTATTATTATTAGAGCAAATTTCTCAAAACCCTCAAAACTATTAAAATGTGATCATAAAATCCCAACCAATTTTAAAAACACTCAACAATATAACAACATTATCATTTTACCCCAACTTTGGTAATTGGCCCCGTTAACCTAGCGCGTGTTTAACAAATGCTTTGACAAATTGACTTTTGTGACGAAAATACCCCTGTTGTCACATATGCCAAACAAGTAATGTGTATTTAAATGTGTTATACCGAAAATACCCCCAAACTTGTAATAGTAAAACACACCCACAGTGTCATCGTTTTAGTTCATCTTCTTTCCTCCATTAGTCTAGGATGAGGTAGCTGGTTATGGGTTTGGTCATGGGTTTAGGATGTCCACGAAACCCATTTCAGTCCGATGCATTTCTTTTCCGCCAAACCCACTTCCGACAACGTGATTTACTAATAATTCAGCATTATTTATTCGAATTTCCTTCTATAAACATATGATCAGAGCTCACGTGTTCATTTGAAGAAGCCCTTGAAGTCAAATTCAATGTCATTATCATCCAAGTTCTTCTTCAACCTCCGTTTCGACCCACTCACTGAGTTGACCCAGTCCCACTCCGGAAAGAAATCCCCTACATAAAACTCGGCAAGCAAAGCCTGCGTTTCCATTAAAACACCCACCAACTCGCTTCTTTCGCTCACCAGCTGAATCACCTAACTCGTCCGTGAATCACTTCCCGAACGCCACTCGGCACAGTATGTTGTTCGCCAAGATGAAGAACAACTCGCTCATGTTGATGTTGGACCCAGACTGAGTTAACACGGTGGAAATCGACCTGTTCACCTCCTCTTCCCGGACAAGTTGGTATGAGTTGACTCATTTTGGACTCAGTAACTCTGCGACACAGATCTTTCTGGCTTGGCGCCAATATGGGCCGTAAGGGGAGAACGTGACGTCGGAGCAGTCGAAGGAGAGGTACTAAGCTGCGACGAGTTGGGGGTGATTCGAGAAGACATGGTCGTGGGTTTTGAGGACGAGTTAGGCGAGTGGAGCGGAGGAGATAACAAGGGTGGGGACTCGGCCGAGTTGGAGGTAGATGATGGGTCCGAGTTTGCGAGCGAGTTGGGCGAAGGCGTGGTGGGGCATGTCGGTGAGAAGGTGGAGGTGACCGATAATCCCCTCATCACCATCACTGTCATTATCATCATCGTTTGCGCCACCGTCTATATTCAATCTTGAGCTCCTCTCGGTATCCCTATCTCTAACCCTAGCCCTAACTTCATGCTCCTTTTTCTTCCCTTTATCTGAATTGTCCTTATTCTAACCGTTATTCTTTCTACGTCGGCCACTGGACTCGCGACGAGGGACAGACCCGGATGGCTCGTTCATTGATTCCATCGGTGTAGAAGACAAAGAAGGCAATGAATTTTTGGTACGAGAAGCTCTGGAACGAGTAGAGGTCAACGAAACAACGACTGTGTTGGCGGTGGCAGTGGCGGGGACTGAAGACGAAGTTGCAGAGAGACGAGTTTTTTTCCTCGAACGGGTGGCGGGACCAGAAGATGAAGATGAAGGGGCTGATGAATTGGCCTCCTCTCGCTTCCGGCGCCGAGTTTCCATACAAAACCCTGATCCCTCAATTACGATTCTGCTCGCTGATAAACGGCGATCAAGAAATTGTCATCGTATCAAACCCTAGAATTCAAATTCAATCATTTTCTAATAAATTGTTATAGAAAATTTAGCAAATCAGGTCGATGATTCACAAAACTCCCAATCGCAAATCTGATCATGCGAATTGAATTTTAAATAGAATTGAAAACTATTGCGATTGACTGATGACTATTGTTGGTGGTGGTGTATTTGTTTTTCTCTCTATATAATATACGACTATCTTGTAAGCTTGGGTGTGGTGAATACTTCTCTGGTTCAATTCTTGTAACCCAATTCTTGTTGCCGAGCTAGAGAGAGAGAGGAGTGACGACGTCGTTTGAATTTAATATTGTACTCACTGTTAGGTACACTGTAGAGGATAATATTGTAATTTCAAAAATATGATTTTTTGGTTTTTTAAATAAAAAGAAATATAATAAGGATAATTTAGTCATTTCACATATCCTTAATGGCGAATTGCCAAAGTTGGGGAAAAATGATAACGTTGTTATATTATTAGGGGTTTTTAAAACTGATTGGGATTTTATGATTACTTTTTAATAATTTTGAGAGTTTTGAGAAATTTACCCTTATTATTATTATTCTTATTATTATTATTCAGACAAAGTCTACTATTTCATTAGCGATCTTATATCTCTTCTACTCAGTCCACTCCCTTCATGTATAATACCTAACGCATTCTATTATGAAACATAATTGGTCTTATTATTCAATTAACAAAAATGCTCACTCCAGCAGCCACTTTAAATTAATCAGATAAACAGTAAATACAATTGGCTTTTCCTTGTAATTAATTACTCTGCATC